TCACAAGTTATGAAACAAGTGAAAACTGGCTCATTGATAGTGGTTGCACTGATCATATGACACATGACAAGAAGTTGTTCAAGGAATTGAAGAGCACCAAGTACAAGAAGGTCAGAATTGATAATTGTGAATATATTGCAGTCAAAGAAAAAGGGAACCGTAGCCATTGCAAGATGTTCAGGAACCAAGTTGATCACTGATGTTCTCTATGTACCAGATATTGATCAAAACTTACTCAGTGTTGGTCAATTAATAGAAAAGGGATTCAAAGGGATTCAAGATTCAAAGTGATGTTCATGGAGAAGGTCCGTGTGATAGAGGATGCTACGGGCGAAATGATGTTTGAAGTTAAGATGGCAGGGGGGAGTTTTTCACTCAATCCAATGCATGAGGAACAAATTGAAAGCACTATGAAGACTCATCAGCAATTGAGATGGTTGAGCATGTGAAAGTTGATGCAGGGCTAAGGAAATTAGAACTGGAGTCAACCTTACAGAAAACAACTGCAGAACTTTTAGAGTTGAAAGCTCACCTTTTGAGTATGGAAACAGAACTCCCAACCATGTCGCAAATGAATGACGAATTGAAAGATAAAATGGATAAGGCAATGGCGAGCCAATTTGATTCAGAGATGAGGCTGATAAAGGCTACTAAAGAAGTCACAGAACTGAAAGCAAACCTCTTGGATAAGTAGACACAGTTGCAAAGCATTATGGATGAGAATGAACAACTAAAATCGGAGCTTAAGAGAGACAGGGAGCATTAGGAGAATTATGTTGCAGCTATATTTTTGGATGCTGAGAGAGCAAAAGCTCTAGAATAATAAACATTGATGAGACTAGGTGTTGTCAATGGGGATGCTGAAAAGAATAACAATAAGGCAACAAAGGTTTTGGAGCAGCTTGAGGCTACTCAAGCAGTGCAATTAGAGATGGAGGCTGAGCTGAGGAGGCCATCTGAAACAGCAGCTGAAACAGTTCTCACACCAGGGAACAATGGCATAATAGTTGAGAAGACGAGCTCTCTTAAATCATACGACAATTCAGGAAGCTGCTAAGCTCCCCTTTCTCCAACGACTAGGATGATGATTCTCCAAAGAGGAAGAATGACAATATGCTAGGGAAAATTTTAATGGATCCCAATCTGGAGCAGAAAGAAAGCACTGAGAATTTTGTTGACAACCAAGCTGTCATTTTCATTTTCCAAAATTCTGTGTTTCATGGGAAAACTAAGCATTTCAACATCAAGTTATTTTTTCTAAGAGAAGTGCAGAAAGAAGAATTGGCGACTGGTTTACTACAAATCTGAAGACCAGTTGGCAGATTTGTTTACAACGTCACTTTCAATCAGCAAGTTTGAGTTTCTAAGGCAGAAATTTGGTGCACAGCTCCTAAAGTAAAGAGGAGTGTTGGAATAATGCTTAGGACTGCATATTGAGTCTAGGTTTAATTGAGTCAAGTTTGTTCCTTAATCTATGGAATTAGTTGCTATTTTTCTTGATTTTGTTTCTTGTTATTTTCTTGACTGATTTTTAGGTCTTTTTCTTGAAAGTTTGTTATTAAAAGTTTGTTATTAGCTGTTATTAGCTCCAAGTTTAAATATTGTAAGACAACATAAAAGGTGTAGTTCTAATTTTCCCTTCAATCTACAACAATTTTCTCAAGTTTTCTCTTCTTTCTCATTTTAACATCGGTCAATAAGAGATTCGAGCAAGCCACCAAATTTTTATGTATTTACATGTCTGACACATACTTTATCACCTAAAATTTCATATTTACAAACATAATATTTGGGTGCTTTAAACATATGCCTAAAAAAGTGCATTTCACTTTTAAAATGATTTAGAAACAAATGAAATGCTTCATAAATTTTTAAGCAAATGATTGTCATTTTGTTGAGTGGTTACCCAAAAAGTTATGTGTGAATGTGGGCTTAGTTTGGAGAATTAATCCACGTTTATCTCATTAAATTTTAATTTGAAGAAATGGGCTTCGGTGCAACCAGAGCTCAATTTGTTAAGCGAGTAACTGAGAATGAGCCAACGAATAGAGAAACAAAAATTCTATGAAGTATTTTATGTTGCACTACAACTATTGTGAAAAGATTGCACCATATATTTTGAACTTTTAGTGACTCCTAAAATATTTGGTACTAAATCAAATTATAATGTGTCCAAAGAATATTTTAAGCAGGATGATTAAAAGAGAAACTGAAAAAAAAAAATTGTATCAAAAGACTTGTAAAGAATGAAAAAATTAATGTTGAAGTTAAGATTGACATCAAAAAAGATATATTTCTATGTTAATGGTCGAATGTTTTATTTGTCGACGGTATCACACTATACAGTCAGCCAACTTCCACATACTCATGTTAGCCAGTGATAGTTATGTTGCATAACCTATCACATGAAATGTGCCTGACTGAATATTTCATATTCTTCACATTGATCATATCCGATCTACATAAGCCAAAGAAAAGATTTGATGTATATTTACAATATTTAATAGATGAGCTTCAAATATTATAAGAAAGAAATGCGATCACTTATGACATTACAACAAAATAGAAATTTCAAATGAAAGTCATTTTGAAAATGACAATAAGCAGTTTTCTTGCAAACAAATTGCCATCGGAATGGAGCACTGCACAAAAATTAGAATGTCCATATAATATAGATCTATCAAAAGCGTTTATTTTAAAATAAGATAGGAAAAATTCGTGATTCAACTATTCTCGAGTATTCTTACCTATTAATCAACCATTCACAATAAATAACATTGAAAAATTAAGATCATTGCTAATAATATCTGAGGATGTTTTGTGGCAAATGGTTAGTGCAATTTTAAATATTACTAAAATTATCTTCACATCTTTCTTATTTCGGTGTTACTCATAACTAGCCAAAGCAAAATATTTTTGAGATGTGTTATACTAGGGGAACAATTTAATTATACATATTTTTGATGTCGTGCACATTTAGAAAAATAAGTTCGATAATATTTTCAATATTGTGATGAATATTAAAGACAAAACCGATTATAACATTAAAATTAGATTAAACTTAAAAAATTGTTGCAAGAAAAAAACACTTGAAACTTCAAGAGACAACTATGAGTAGACTGATGAGATATAAAACTAAGTTTTCTTACTTTAGATCCGCAAAAAATAATTTCTTAATGATTGCAATCTTTGAATTTTTCTAGTACGTATGCATCTAACTTAAATTATTCTGTCGCCTAAAGAATAAGGAATATATTTGACATGAAAAGTTATGACAGTCATATTTTCTTACAATGTTTGATATATGTTGCATTTAATACTTTTTCAAGTCATACATTAATTAAATTCAATGTATTTTTCAAATATTTATATGCAATTTATTTGAAAATAAATGCATTGAGATAACTTGAAGTGAGCATTTCAGTGACTATACAAGCTTGAGTGAATACTTTATTATGACTTCTTTAATTTGATGGAGCTACATCTAACTTATGATTAAAAGCTCGGTACAGTACCTATGAATGTATCCGTTTGAAAGATGCGTCATTTAAATGTCTGATTATATAATTTACAAAGAATTATTACAATACGGTACTAAATAATTAGCACTATCTCATACTTTTGAATAAAATAAAAAAAGGAAAAATAAACAATGAAAAAAAATATTAAAATGTGGATGTGAGATAAATTTGCTACATAAGAAATACTTTTTAGTATTACTTCAAGCACCAACGATCAATAGAATAGGCTGTAGTGTGGGGTCATTGCAATGTGTGGTTTATGTATTTCAAAAATCACGTGAAGTATTAAGGTGATGCAATTCATGTTATCTCAACGACAACAGTGAACTTTGACCAACGACTGTCTATTCAATTTTAATTGTGATGAATTTTAATTATTTCTTAAATAAAACATATAATATCTAAATAATATTTAAACTAATATTGAAAGTGTTACATTCACTTGATAATCAAAGTTTTAATTACATGTTCAAGTTATTTGTCAACTCTTTAAATATTGAGGATGAGAGTATTAGCAAAAAGAAGATTGAAGAAGGGTTCACAATATGGTACAAATTATATGGGATTTCTACTAACTCAAAATTTCACTAGACATAAATTGAATGCTCAAATTACATATCTTTTGATATTTTTAAAAGATTCATAATTAGGATGCATATAGTAGATTTTTACTATGCGGACAATAGTTGATGCGAAAAGATACAAATTTCACTTGAGATTCTGCTCCTTCGAAAAAAAAAAAATTTGATATTTGTGCCAAAGGAAAAATTCATTCCGATAATAAGATATACGAATTTTTAAAAAATTGTGCAAATGCAATATTCAGGTTCTATTGAGACCAATGTATTTCTATTCAACTATGATGAGTGTGATCATGTTCTCAAACAAAAAACAAACATATAAATCATATGATATCACTAAAGTTAAAATAAATAAAAGATAAGTCAAATTTGATACATTCGTTTTAGCAACTCAAGTCAATTAGATATATTAACTTTAATACCCTAATAGACAAAGTTGATTGGGCAGTAACAATAACGACTAAAACTAAAGCACCTATTAAAATCCAAAGTAAAGTTAAACCAACTCATCAGAAACAAAAAGAAAAAAGTTTGATTTTTGTATTCTCTATGCTTTTATTGAGTAAAGAATTACCTTAAAAGATGCTATTAATGCATGTGAAGTCAATCGTGAGTGGATGAATCTGATGATGATACAAGCGAGAAAATCTTAAATTTTAGCATTTACTCACTCCTCTTACGAAACAGAATAAGATGGGTAAATAATTTAGTTTTCAATTTCTCATGTTTTTATTGCTTGCATTTTTTTTTTCACTATTTGTTACAGTGTTGACTGCATTTATGTTGTTTTATGCATTTATTTCTATGTTTTTTTTTTACTACATTATTTTTTGCTTATAATTATTCTAATCAATTTATTTCTTATTACAAATGACTGCCAACGACAACTTCCACAAAGGTTCTTGCAAGATAGCAATTTTTCATAGTTTATATCAAAGGAAGAAGCAAACAATTTTGCGCAACACCCACAGATGAGCAGGACTGTGACTGTCATTTCCACGACTGCCACCAAGTTACTCATAAAGCATGTTGCTCCACCTTCAATGAAACATGCGATCCACACCCCTTAAGCTCCCACCACATTGCCACCTCTACCCTCCCCTTCAAGGTAAGCCCCTCCACTCTCATCAAACTTGGTTTGAAAGGTACCTCAAGTCAAGAAAGATACAAATCCGAAAGTAATTGAAATTATAACAGCTGAAATTATTTTTTATCATATTCTATATCTAAAATCCTTTCTATATGTTTCATCTCGCCAAGTAGATATTTCATAACATCACGAGTAGTCATGTGATTCAAAGATTTTGAGGTAAATCTAAATAACATTGAATTACAATTACAATCTTAAATTATGCTTTCATAATAACAAATATTATTTATATTTATTTTGCAGAAGAACTTCTGTTGATTGCCTTAGCATTATCGACAAATTTGGAGAAACTTTGAGATCCGAAGACAACCTGCTTATGACATATGTTTATTGTTATACATAAAAGATAGGGTAGGATGTTTGGGCCATGTTGTACAAAGCCAAAACTTCTCCTGAGTATCTCAAAAAGAGGCAGACGGTGCAATAGAAACGAGCCTCAGAATGTGGGGGCATGAGTGCCTCTGTACACATCAGAGCCTTGGTTCCCCCACAATGTATAGAAGGCGGATGATAAGATTTATTTATTGAATTAAATTGATATATATTATTATTTAATTTCCTGAATATTTAAAGTGTTAACAGAAGCAAACGGTTGGACACAAGTCTATCATTGCTGAGTTGCATGCTCGCTCACATCAACATCCTGAGTATCCCAACATGTCCCCATAAATTAAATTATTTTTTATGTATAAATTTTATTTGCAATCTTATTTCAATGCTAAAGAGCATTTATAGACTTTTGTAGGAGTATGTGCACCTGAAGAATGTCTGAAGTAGGAGTCTACATGAGTTTGTAGCTCTAGTGGTCAGTCTAACAACTCAAATATCGAGATCTAAAGGGAGTGAAGCTGCTTGTGGGAGAAAGAAAGGAAATGTGTACAGTATCAATGCACAGGGATATGCATACGAGACAACAATCCGGCTCTGGTGAGACTTCATCATCATTTTATGATGTAGTGAAGCGTGTGGTCATAATCATCGAAGAATTTAGAGCCAACTTTGCTATTGATCTACGATGGCTTGAAGAGACAGTGCAAGCTATAAATGCCAAGGTTGAGAGGCTTGAGGCCAGCATTGAGCCGTTGTAGCACAAGTCACATATGAATGACAAGCGTCCTATGATCGTGGAGGAGCACGAGGAGCAACTAGCCCTTTATTTTCCCAATGTAAAACTTGATTTTTAGTATTTTCATTTATTTTGTATATATTAATATATTGGATGATTTGTTGTGTTATAGTGTTATATTTGTAATCTACGATTCTATATTTATTTTTGTTTATTTATTATGAGTTATTATTATTTGCATCATTTTGTCATTGTAAGTATGAAAATTTTAATCAACTTCAACACGCTTTTATTTTTGCACAAGTTTCTAGCATATCACCAACGTGTTTTTCAGTCGCTAGACAGATAACAGTTTTTCAAGCCACATATTAACATTTGGACTGTCAGCTGCTAATCCATCAATCGAATTAACAATAGAAAAATTCAACATGTATTTAAATATCAAATGAAAAGTTAGCAAGTTCTTCAGTCCACACATTTATTGTTGAAATTTTGATGCTAATCCGCCAATAAGCCAATAATGGCGAAAACTACTCAAGCCAATAAAACATTTCAGACAACCACCTTTCTAGCTGGCAAAAAATACAACGTAAATAAGTTATTTAACTAAATTACAAACATACATATACCTTAGCACTCTCTAATTTATCTGTCGGCAATCGTGGAATTTTCTATAGTAATACAATACGTGTGCGCGTGCGCACGCACACGCACACGCACATATATGATTCTATGTATATTACATCACCTAATTAAAAAAGAAGTATGCGTGCTTAAAAAATTATTAGGGTGCAAATAATCCAACAATATTTGCATAAAAATGTAATCAATTATAATTAATACTCAAAAGACAAAACAATTCCATTATAACCATGCATTAAACCAAGTAAGAAATAATGATTGGCATAAAGACAATGGGTCTATTTCCAATTAGAAACAATTTTTTTCTTTGCAGATGATCCAATACTTGTAAGTTTTTTATATCCTCAACATAATGAGATTTTGATCGATAAAAAAGGGTACTTCTAGCACAAATTTAATAAGAATTTTAAATAATTTGAAGAATGATTGATTCAATCGACAAGAAGCAAAACATAATAACAAGCCATGGAAAATATAATTTGAATTAGATTGTTGAACTAATGGATCAACCTGCCAATGCAAAACAAGAAAATAAAGCTAAAAAGCTTTAAACAAATGATCATTGCATTTATATGTACCAAAAATGATTTAACATTGGAAGAAGAGAATTTTCTCTTTTTCTTGCAAGTTATGCAGCTGCTTTCTCAAGTCTAATCACCTTGACAAACCTGAATACAAATAGAAAAAATAACAGCAATAAATAAATTCAGCCAAATCATTCATAAAAACAAATAGAAGGTCCTGCAAATGCAAGGAAGAAAAACTTAATAAATGGTTGGTGAAAACAAGAGTAATTATACATTGGATAAATGATTTTTAAATTACTAACCAAAACAAATATTGAAACATGATGATGTTTTGATAATAGAAAACATGCCTTGGAAATACTAATGATTTTCTAGAGCATAGATTGGAAATTCAAATCAATATGATCCAAACAGCTCAACTTGAAGTGCTTGAAAGATCAAGCATCACCAAAAATATTTTAACAAGGTTTTTTATTATTATTATTATTTTGCTTAGACTACTTTCTAAAAACTTTATAAAAGAATATGCTAACCCACAAACACATTAAATAAATGTCCTACCAATACACATTAGAAAACATAAATTATTTTCAAAAAACATCTGATGACTAATGAATACGATCAAAATTATGCATATGATGCTCCAATGGCTCTTTTGCTATAAGGGATAGGGATATGACCATTATAAGTGTTTATTACCAATCATAGCCAGTTTGCTAAAAGAAGGTTTACCAACAATTAAATCAAACATTCAATATAGCCATCATTCAAATGATACGTTAAAAGCTCAAAAGAAATTAAACATGTTATACATAAGACCCATGATTGTACGTATGATCATATAGAACTTAGAATTTTGTGGAATAAATTAGATGTAATGGCAACCTTGACTATACATTGGCAATTGTCAACAATCATATGACATTATTTAAGCTATGATTTAAAATCCTAGCAACTATAAATACCCATTGGAACCTTTAAAAGCCATCCTAAGGCTTACGCGTATATTTCAAACTTCTCAAAGCTATAGAATTTCACTTGAAATCTCTTTGGTGAGACTAGCTAGTGAGCTATGTAAATTTAGGATTGGAATACCAACTTCTTTCCACTAATTCATCACAACCTATCAACGTATACTATAAGTGAAATGCTTCTCCTAGAAGATAAAACTCAAACTTCTCTACCCAATTAAGGTTTATGCCCTGCGATTCTCTAAGAAATGGATTAATGAAACTCTCAAAGGAAGAAAAATCATGACATCAATGTAGATTGATTGAGACTTAATTATCATACATCGAATTGCATTTTCTACCTTCTAATTTTGCATTTTAATTTCTTAACTTTATTTACTAGTCTTTCTAGCTATAATATATAGTTATTCACATTGCTAGCTAGATAGTATACACATTCATTACGAGGTATTTTCAAAGTAGCACAAAATCTTGGAAAAACTAGGCCTGGCAATCATAAGAAAAGATCATTCCTATCACACACTTTGGTAACAATAATTCTTTTAATATCTACTAAATTCATAATGAAAACTTTTCTAATTCATCAATAAGTAGTACTTAGGCTAAGATAAAACATCCTTCCTAGGGTGGAAGATGAAATTTCAATTGAGAAGCAGTCATTGAAAAGACTCAAAGTGAGAAAAGCAAACTATCAAATGCAAGAGCACTTATTTTGTTTATTTTGTGCACCCAAATTCAATGATTATACAATGGCTTCATGTAAAAAATTGATAATGAAATATTGCATAAGCTTATGTCATGAATGAAGAAACTAAGTTCACCAATTTTGAATTCATGCAAGTTCATAAATACCAATTATTTCCATGAAACCAGATGAATCAATCTCAAATATGTACACTTATTTTAATAAGATCATCATTAGTTTACATTCTCATAGAAATGAATCTTATTTAAATCAACAGATAACAAACAAGATCCATTTCCATTCTAAGAAATGGGATGCCAAGGTCTCAGTCCTCAAGTAAGCGAACATTACCTATATACTTATTTTATTTATAGGACCATGAAATAGAGATGATTCAACAAAGAAAATGTTGCATTTAGCTGAATTATGGATAGATAGATAGAAATTTATATTCCTACAAATACAGGGCCATTAGAATGCCATTCTTGAGGCCATCAAATATATTCCTCCAAAAATCTACTTTTATATCCAAATTGTCATCGTCTCTCACCTAAAAGCTAGACACCATAAACCCTACCTTACAAAAATGCAGCCTAGCAACAATCAACCGATTCAACCAAGCATTTCCCTCAACAGCAAAAGTAAATCAATCCACCGATGCCAAAGATATCCTTCAGAGACACGACGATGGAGAGTTGAGGCATTTAGACAGAAACTCTATAAATAATTCCTTGCAAAAAATCTTACAGAAGAATTCTAACCTCTAGCAACCCTACATTAAGATTTGTGTACTTCTCTAAATATAAAAAATCGTTATTATCACTAACATAGTTAAAAACGCAAATCTTCCCAGTAATTCCTACTCAGCATTCACAAACAATAGCGAGACATCAAAACAACAAACAACCTACAATAATCAAACCAAAAGAAAGGCCAAATCAAATAATCAACCCTAAATCAGGGATCAATTCTTAAAATTTGCAATAACTCCAAATTCTTTCCCTTACCTACTGTCTTCAACGACGAACACATTTCTTTCCATCGTTCGTTCAGAAAGAAAACACAAGCAGAATCAAGGGAATCGAGTCTCTATATAAAGCATGCGCATCTCACCTGCATCGAAAAAGCACCGGTAGATATTATCTTACCCGGCCTCACCGCGACCGTAGCGGCAGTTCGTGAGCCACGTCTCCTCCGCTGCCCAGACTACATTAACTAGCAGGGGATGGAGTAAACTCCTGACCGGCAATGGTGGAAACAAAGGACCACGTTGCGGGCTGTGATTCAAACAATGGACTTCTTTAAGGAAGGGAATGGAGATGATGTCAAGTGTCAGTACGGGGGCGGTGATCGGCGCACACGTCAGGCTGGTTCTGCTTCCAAGGAACCTGCATTGGTTCGAAGATCAAAGGGAGGCTACGTGGATCGTAGCAGAAGGTCTCTAGCGAATATTATATATGGAATCCTTACATCTTTATTGAAGTAAGAGCACATGGAAATGTTGTTAAAATTAACTTAAAAAGTTGGTTTCTTAATTAATCAAATATCATGAATTTCAAATTCTTGGTATATTTGGTTGAATAAAATGTTTAATCTAACTAGAACTTAAATAGTAAATTAGTTAATATGAGTTATTCGGGTCAAATTGAACTTGATTGAAATTATTCTGAATTTATAAGTTTTGACTCAAATCTGACTCAAATAGCAATCGGCTAAATCTTAATCTAAATTTTTTTAGAGTAAATTTCATTATTTTTTTTAATCATATTTGGATGGAATTAATACAATCAATACAATCAACACCAAAATATTTTTATTCTAAGTTTAGTATTATTAATTCAAAAGCTTTTATGCTTTATTTTTTTAATAAATTTATCAAGGATATGACTATATTTTTTCAAAATTAGCGTGAATTCCAAGTCATAGTTTCAGGAAGGTTGATTGGTCGCTCGACAATTTAATTTGGTTTGATTGGCTACCAAGGTCTGATCAATATGAAATATGAAATTAATTCTTATAAAATACATGATATAGGATTTTAAGCTAATCTCATGATTTAACTAAAACCTCTTTGTCGTTTAAGCCACTAAAATCTCATTATGTGCTTGGAACTTTGAGGCAATTTCTTTAATTGTAAGAGAATAGGAATCAAAATCATAATGGATACAACTAGTTCTAAGACTTGATTAATCTTTTCTATAGTTAGTATTCTTATTGAAGCTTTATCAACTTTCCTTGATTATATTCTCTTGAACATTAAAGGATATAAAATTTAACAGGAGATTTTTTGCAACAGAAAGGCCTTGGCTTGTTGCATTTGTAGCGTCTTTAAATTTGATGTCCAATCTTGCCCTAAGACATCTCCTTCCAATTAATCTAATGTGTTACTTTAAATAGAAGAATTAGTAGAAAAAATATTAGTGTTATTGGATAAATACATGCCACTCTGTAAGAGATCCCTAAATCCTATAAGACCCAAACCATTTTGTTGTCATATTATCTTCCAGTGATATTGGTAATTTTCCTATAATGTAGGAAAGGGTTTTTGGTCTCACAACCAAGAAAAAAGAAGAAATGAGGGAAGTTATGGAAAGGAGTTGGAATAAAAGAATATAAAACTATTTTTCTAAGGCTTTGTTCTTATTTTGGTCATGGGACATTTGATTTAGTTTTGAAATAGCAGAACTACCTTGCTTTTAAAGTAGTTCTTGACTTTGTGATCATGAGAAGGTTTGTCCTTATTTTTCATGAGGATTTGATGGACTTGTGTTTTGAGCTTTAGATTTAGTGGGACTGTCCTTGCTTATCATGAAAATAATCTTCATTTTTGGAAGGTTCAAAAAAATTAGTGGATGGTGGCTTGTATTTGGGTTTAGGATTTTGTATTTAAATTGACTTGGGACTTTAGTTTTGTCATGACATAAGCTTGGTTTGATTTAAGTGATTTTAAATAATGATTTTAATTTTAGATCTTGAATTTAAAACTTGGTGATTTCAATTTAAACATTTCTCGTTTTAATTTGGTATTTCAGCTAATTCAAATTTCATGGTTATCTTTTGTTTGATTTAAAATTTTGATTATGATGATTTTCTTTATATTTGATTTTAATTTTGATTGATATTTAGATTTTGTGATTTTTAGTGACTATATATATATATATATATAATGAGAATTTGTAAATATAATAGGTAATGATTAGGAAAATATATAGTTTTAGATTGATTTTTGTGATTTCACTTAAATTTAATTTTGATTTTATTTGATGACTTTAATTTTGTAACATTTAATTTAATTATTTATTTTTATTGAATTTGATGCTTAGGTTGGTTGTAATTTACTTTGGTTTTAATTTAAACATTTTATTGAGTTTTACTTTGATTGCTTTGGAAAGTTTGGGCTTTTAGAGATTGACTTTAGTTTTGATCAATTTGAAATAAATTTTGTGATTCAATTTTAACTTCAATTTTAAGTTTATGATCTTGTTGATTTTGATTTTGAGTTTATTTTATTTTAAATTTTGAACTTTTAGTTTGTGCTTTTATTTTATGATTTTATTGGTTTCAACTTTGCTTAATTTTGATGATTCAAATTTTTCTTTTGTTTTCATAGTTTAATTTGGTGATTTTTTTTTCAAAATCTTTCTTATTAAAAGTTGAACCCTATCTTAGTTCAAAATGAGTCTCGTACACAATGGGCTGCTTATGAATCAAAGGAAAAGTTATCCAAGACAAGTGCAAAGTGAGAGACCAAAAGAAAATATAACTCTTTAGGGTCAAATGATCACTTAAGGCATTTTCAATCATATGGAAACTCAACTTATGCTTCAATGACTTAACCCTAATCATTTCAATCAAGGGTTGATGATCTTAAAACACTAGTTATTCAGGAGCGCCACTATGAAAACCCTAAGACTATATCCTAAGTTTTAGAAAGAGGAAGGAAAAGATATACCTCATGAAAAAAAAGATCAACACATCTTTCAACTCCGGACTCTACGTTCTACAAATATCATCACTACTTACCATTACGACCTACAAAAACAATTACGACTTACATGGCTTATAGCTCGTGCAGATCTTGCATCCTTCTTTGTGACTTACGAGCATTGTCACAGCTCACCACGACGGCCAACTTGACTAATTATGATCTACGTGGTTCATAGCTCTTACAGCTCCCAACTCTGACCCTTGCAACCTTCAGATATCATCATAGCTCAGCCCTGCAACCTAAATGACCAACTACAGTGTGCATGGTTCACAACTTGTGGCTCCAACCCCTGCTATCTACAGACAACATCACAACTCTTAAGGCCAACGTGACTAACTATGGCATATGCGGATTATAGCTTTTGCAGCTTCCTATTACATCTTATGTGCCCAACCGACGCTCATCTAGGCCTATGTAGCCAACTACTTTCATGGCTTTCAACTACGACCCACACTACAAGCTGTTGCAATTGCCATCGTCTACAACATTCACAACGGTCGATTGCCTCCATAGCAATCGACTATGATCCTTGTAAACTACTGTCAATGAGAACCATATTCATTACCCCAGACAATGTCTATTATCTCGTGCATATTTACAATGTTCATTTTTGTAATTTCATCTCCCCAAATTCAGGAGATGAGTGAACATGTGTACTCACTAGTTATAGTGAATTATTTTCACTGAGCAATATCCCGTGGTCTTTTCACTTTCCGAGTCTTTCACGTAAAAAGTAGACGTTCATCATCCAATTTATTTCTCTTTAATTATGTTGAATTTTGATATATCACTAAGACGATAAATAATTATTCTACCGGCACTGTTCTTCCAGCACTCTTCAGTGAATTAATTTTAGCCGCAAACGACTCGAAAGAAGTAGTCTTCTGTCAAAAGCGTGATATTAATATATTACATGTGTATTTCGCTTAACAAATTTATTGTTAATATTATTATACAAAATTTTAGGATATTGATATGAATATTTGAGAACATTTTGACAGATTTGTAATAATATAATTAATTTAAACTTGTTTCATTTTAATCAGTAATACATTTGGTAGATTTTAATGCCATTAAGCTTATATTTACTGTGAATTAACAATTATTTTTAGTGCTACAAAATTGACACATTATCTGCGGCAAATGGATGTTGATTGACAATTCTATAATAAATCTGTACGTAATTAAGCATCTGCAAAGAATTAAATACAAATATTTTGCTGTTGCTATTTGACAAATTCCCCAGTTGGAAAATCATTCAAACATTGTTCAAATAAATTAGTTCCATCAGTCAAATTATGTGGCGGAATAAGAACTAAAGTCTTAACATTTAAGAGGATAAATCATCCATGTTATAGATAGCTACAAATCATAAATTATAAGCAAAAATTTCATATCATCTATAATTAAAAAAAAAAAAATTAAAAGGAACTTTAACATGCATACCACCCAATTCTTATGTATTTACAAATCTAACATGTAAATTTTAACATATGACTTAAAAAAATATCACTATTTTAATTTTTTAAAAGTGAAATATACCCTTTCATGCATAGTATGTAAAGCTTAAAATTTAAGTATGGGGCGTATAAATAAATAGAATTGAGTGGTATTTATGTGAATGTTGCAACAAATTTATCCAAAATCGGTCAAAACATTCCTTCCCAACAAGAAAAAACTAGACAATATCATGGAGCGAAATTCAATTAGGCTTTCTTGTAAGGACCGTTCAAAAATTAAATAATATTTTCGTCTGCGAGCCTGTTCAAAAACTAAGGAGACGAGTCAGGACTAGCTTGAGCTTGACTTGTTAACTCATCGAGCTCAAATCACGAGCCACTCATCAAACCGAGCTCGAGCAGTCTCGCTAATCGAAACAATGACACATAATGAATTACTTGTCATATTTATGGTTAGGGATCAACCCTCACCACACATTCATTGTGAATTTAATTTCTATGATATATGCGTTTGATATAGATTTAATGAGCATAAATGTAAGGAGCATTTATTAACACAGCAAGCATTAATCTCTTTCAGTAAGGGAAGGTGGGGGGAGCGCCAGCCACCTCAATTTTAATTTATGGATGTAAAATAGCTATATTTTTCTTGTAAACAAAGTCATAACGCTTCTAGATAGATATCAAAATCATCATATTATATAAAATGACATCATACATATATATATATATATACTTTTGCGAGCCGTTATGTATTTATAATTTTTAAATTACAGATAGCAGATAAGCATTCCTTCAACTACATCTATCAGTATCAACAAACCTAAAAGAAACAAGCAGAATGAAGAACAAATAATGTGGAACCAATCACCAACTACCAACCACCAACCACCTTAAGATACAAAACCAACCAGCCAAACGAACAAATTACATATATTTTTAAATTTACATACATACCAGACAATTCTTATGTATTTACATATCTAAGACCTGCAATTTGATATTTACATTTACAGCACTTTAGTGTCATGAACATATGCTTGAAAACGAGTGTTTCACTTTTAAAACATTAGTACATGTGGTAATTTTGATGCGAGAATAAAGATTTGAGTGTTTAGTATGTAAATATGAAAGCTTAGATGTTATATATGTAAATACATAACAATTGTGATGCATGCACTTAAATGCCCCAATACTCATGTATTTACATATCTAACACCTAAACTTCAAATTTTTACATATATGCCAACTAACCTATGCATGTAAAGATGTATTTCCCATTTTTTGAAGTTGTATTTTCTATGTGATATGAGAGATTTGGGCAGTACAAATGTATAAATCAAAGTTTAGGTGTCAGATTTGTGAATCCATAAGAATTGGGTGGTATGTATGTAAATGCCCCTTTTAGATGGCTAAAACAGCAGGTTCACCAGACATAAAATAAGCATTAATCAGCTCAATAAATATTTAACACAACAAAATAGACATATTGGGATATGAATAAAAATAGTCCATAATTAATAATAACATCAACAAAACAACAACCAGCACATTGTAACAGCCATGAAAGAGCAGATTAAATAACTACAAGAGATAGTTCACCTAGCTAAAAACGAGCAAAATTTAAAAAATTTAAAAACATAAATTAAAAAAAAAAAAAAGCAAATGAGAGAGTTCAATCCATGAACTCCTAGAAGCATGAAAAATTTCAGTAATACAAGATAAACATGGAGGAGAATCTACTGAGATAATAGAATGAAAAAACCTTGAGCAATTAATTGCATGGCATCATCACCAAAGAAAATGAAATGAAAAAAATGGAAAAAAAACATCTTAAAACACTAAACATGGTTCATGAATCGGCACCTGTGGATTTGGCATGTTCCACAGAATCAGACCGCCGAGAGGACTGATCAGTAGTTGTAACTTCGGTGTCGCTTGGTTCGACCTGTTGGTGCCCCTGTTCTTCAATGTTTGCAGAACCTCCGCTCGACGAACGGATCCGTTCGATCCGCGCCACCACCTCCGGCATTGAAGGTCGGCTGTCCGGATACTGCGCCGCACAGTCTATGGCAAGCTGTAAAAGCTGAACCATCTCCTCCTCGACATTCTGATACCTAAGCAGCTCCAGATCAAAAACCTCTGACGACCAATCCTCCCGAACAACGGACTGAACCCATCGCGGGAGATCGACACCGTCCTCATTGAGGAGGGCTTGTGCGGGAGCCTTGCCCGTGAGTAGCTCTAGAAGGAGGACGCCGAAGCTATAGACATCAGCCTTCTGCGAGACTTTGCGAATATCAGTGACTTCTGGTGCTCGGTAACCTGCAATGCGGCTCAGGGTGGTGCTGGGACCGACGAGAGTTGCGAGCCCATGGTCAGAAACACGAGCTTCGCAGGATTTCGTTAGGAGAACGTTGGAGGATTTGATGTTGCCATGGGAAACTGTCGGGCTTAGGGAATGGATGTACTCGATGCCTTGGGCAGCACTGAGCGCGATGGATAATCTTGTCTCCCAATTTAGGGGTGTTCTTCCAGATCCTCTATTGCCTGTATAATAGCCAATATGACACATCAATATATTATGTACTTCAACGCATGAGAAAGAAAAAAAAAACACTAGCCAACATCAATTCAGAACACAAGAAATGATGAGGAAGCATATTTGAGCGTTTATATAGATAGAATATGCAATTATGTGCAACACCATGAATGTCCAGATATGCATTTTATTCCAAGCGAAATATCTACTTAGATTTGCCATTAATTTGGAAAATATTCATTGGTTTGAATGCAAATGAATCCACTCATGTATAAATTAAAATAGATGTCTATGTCATACAGCAGCCATTGAGAAATGAATCCTAACGATCTAAATTCTACATCTCTTTCTACTGCATAAGTTGAAGTTACTGTTAAAATAAGATTTCAACGCACATATTAAGTGAACAACGGTAAGGAATATTTTTACAGCATACACTGTATAGATATTCATATTGCTGGTATAACAAGAGCTCAAAGAACATTAAAAAATATATGGTAAGAAGCTCTATGGTTGGGTGAATTCTAGAGACTAAAAAATTTATTCAATCCTTCTCACCCAAAAAACAAGTTGTTGTGGCACTGATATGAATGACCAAATAACTGCAACAAGTATTATGATAAATTATATAATGCTCCAATATTATAAATTAATAAATAATGACTAATTAGATTAAAAAAATAATGAATATGTTTATTTATTAAATAGAACAGTGAAATTTAAAAAAAATGTTCTAGAAAGCCATCTAGCCCAAAATTCTAAGAAAGCAGCTTTTTTTGCTTTTATACAATTGAATTTCTTCTCATAGTTATTGCACCAAATGCCTTAAAATTGCTTTTGCTATTCAGGAAAGAATACAAAATGAAAAAAAAAAAAACAAAACTTTGAACCAAATTATAATCTTAGCAATATTTCTTGGATAAAATAAATCCAGCCAAAGGTTTGATCCAAAAGGAAGAAAGAGTGAAAAGAAGTATAAATCCAAAAAAAAAAAAAAAAACAGGGAGATAATATACATCATAAAAAAAATGATGTTAAATTAGCCCGCTTAAATTTAATGAACTAATGATGCTTAAGAAACTAAAACTCCAATTAACTGCTTAAGATGCCAATCAGCTCTTAAATGATAGCTAGTGTACTTAGTTTGTTAGCCACTTATCATAATATAACTATGAGTCCTACTCTCCTACGATATTAGTTATATTTGTATTGGAATATTAATTATCTCACCCACTTAAATGACAGCTAGTGTACTTAGTTTTATAAAGATAGGACCCATGATGCAAATTAAATGCAACACTTTCTAGTAAGAGGGCACGATAAAGCAAACTGAGCCTTCGCATGCTAAATAAGTTTGGGAAATTTACACCTACATATCTGACACCTAAATTTTGATACTTAGGTTTATAACAGTTTGGTCTCATAAACCTACGCATGAAAAGGCATTCATCACTTTTAAAAAGTTAGCAGTTGTAGTATTTTTGTTTTAATATTAAAGATCAAAGCATTATGTATGTAAATATGAAAGTTTAGTTGTTAGATGTATCAGAAATAAAGATTGTGTAATATGTAATTAAATGCCCCAGCAAATCTTTAGCCTGATCTCAACAAACTGTATAAAATTTAGCTAATAAAAAGTTTGCCTGAGTTGACATTTTCTGGACGAAAAAGACCTACAGATTCCTAAGAGAGCAAGACAAACACAGTATATATTAATATTCCAATATGCCAGTTCGTTAAACGGTTCAATAAATTGAGAGATGAGCAAGAATACTAAATGAATAAAAATTTAACTAACCCACTAGGCCAAGGCGGAAAAATCATAACAAGAATCTTAAGATTATGGTTTTAAAAAATATAATTCAAACTGTAATTGTGAATGAATGATAGTCATCTGCTTTGCTTTACAAAACCTAGCATATAAATATTTTGATTACAAGGCTTCTAATAACTTCGGTTTCGTTTGACAATGCAGTGAAGTTTATTCGATTGGAACAAGCATAAACCTTTGTATTTGGTGAAACAACGAGAGACAAACATCTCCCGAAGTTCTTTTACAAGAATAGTGAATTCTCACCATTTCAGATCACAACCGTTCTCCGGAGGTTTGATGAACAAAAGAAACATGGTAAACTTTGCCGCTGTTTCAATAAAAGCCTTGATGACAATCTGCAACGCACATCCAGTGCAACCCACCCTTCTTTATAAAAATAGCAATTGCATCATAACATCCTACTAAATATAGCTTAAATATTTAGTTTTTGTGTTGTAAACAGAGGCAAAACAAAATTGCTAGAAAGTGATGATTTTGGTTCAATTCCAAATATTCTATATTTGTATAACTAAGATTCCCAGCAATATGCACCAAATAACAATTAGAAAGAAAAAATATAAGCCCCAACTCTATTCAAGATAATCATGATATCCTCTCCATAGTTCAGGAAACTTTCACAGGCAAAGAAAAGAAGATGTGAAAAAGGAGGGGGGAGAGAAAGGAGGATGAGGAGGATGTTTTACCATGCAACAGAGCCGAGAGACTTCCCATGGGCATATAATCATAAACAAGAAGCTTTTCATCCTTGCTGAAGTAATATGCTTTGAGAGGCAACAATTTTTCATGCTCCATGGATCCCACCACTCCAATTTTCTCCCTAAACTCCTGCTCCGACAAATTCACATCCCTCAGCCTCTTCACTGCCACCACTGCTCCCATCTCCAACAATGCCTTGTAGGCCGTTCCGAACGTTCCCTTCCCCAATACCTCAGCCGACGCGCGCAGCAAATCCTCCAAATCAAATTCTCCATCTCCCGACCTTCCAAAGAAAACTAATCTTTTCCCAATCTCAGGCTTCTTCTCCGCCGCCCCTCCCGCCACAGCGGCGACTGCCGCTGATTCACCTCTCTCCCTACCCCCGGGCGCTGGCCGCTGTCTCCGACGGCTTCCCGGCCACCGCGGCTGCTTCCACCGCCGGATTTTTACTCCCGCCGCTTCTCCGACACACGAACACCAACAGAATCAGCAATATCAGCACCACAGCGGCAGATCCAACAGCGATTCCGGCGATTGCGCCACCGGAGAGCTTACTCCCGCTGCTATCGGAGGCAGGTGGAGTACGGCCTCCACTTCTTCCTCCAGGGCTCGCCGCCGGCTCCCGGGCCGGAACCGGCGAGACCGGGACACGGAGCCAGCTGACCGCCGCACAGCGACATCCCCATAAACGCGCTCGCCGGTTCCTTGCTCAGCTTCGACGGAACCGAGCCATTTAGCCGATTAAAAGAGACGTTAAACTGCTCTAGATTCGGAAGATCAAGGTTCGGGATGCTTCCCTCCAGCTGATTCCTCTCAAGGTACAGCGTCCTGAGGTGAGACAGATTCCCGAACGCCGGTGAGATCCCGCCCGTGAAGCCATTCCCAGCAAGATTCAAACGAACAAGTTTCTCCATGGAGAACAGCACCGTCGGAATATTGCCGGAAAAACGGTTTTCCTGCAAATAAACGTTGCGGAGCTCTACAGCGCCGGAGAGGTCCGATGGGAGGCTACCGGACAGGCCATTGAAGCGGAGGCTAAGTGTACGAAGAGCGG